TTCTTGCCTGCCAGGACTTCTTCGATAGCGATCTTCAAGTCATTCCGTGTCGCGGCATCACGGACATTGCCGACAAGAAAATGATCGTCGATTCGGCCTCGGTACTGAATTGTCCGAGCCTGATCTAAGAGAACAACTTCAGGGGTTCGTCGGGCACCTACGTCATCGGCAAGGCGATTGGCGAGGTCTTTCAGAAACGGGATTTTCAGTGAGTGGATGCGGGCAAATGCTGCCATCTCGGTCATCGAATCATGCTGATTGGCATCGACCGCAAGAATGGTGACTTGGTCGTCGGCAAACTGATCGGCCAACTGTTGAAGCGTCACGGAGTAACGCTTTGCGACTGGGCATTCGCAGCCGATGAATGCCAGAACGACCACTTTGCTTTCGGAGTAATCCGACAGCTTGTGTGTCTTGCCGCGGAAGTCTTTCAACTCGAACTCGGCAATGTGTTTCCCGATCGGCTTCGGCTCGACATTCGATTCCCGAGCCCACAGCGGCAACGCGGAGACGGCAATCATCAAGAGAGCAAGGATACGTCGGTTCACGGGGGGACACTCCTGAAAACAAATGCCAGGCAAGCAAATTCCTACTTCGTAAACTTTACCGAGCAGGAATAAGTTTCGCCTAGCGCGAATTTTTCAGGATCTTTCCCGGAAACCCAAGATCGGCCAATTTGCTGAGACTAGAACGTGCTCAAACGATTCACGCTGATGTTCACCCCCTGGAAGGGGACAACACCGTAAATACCACGCGTCAGAACCAGTTCGATGAATTCGTCCGCCCATAAGATCGGGCTCTTGGGAACGACTACGATATCGGCATCACGAATCCAAATTTCGTCCGAAGGGGCAGGGCGGCGAGCATATAAAGCACCCTTGAGATCAAGCTTTGTTGCCACCAATCGCCAATCTTCAGCACGACGGAAAACGACCACTTCTCGTAGGTTTGCCCCAACATTCCAGCCGCCAGCCATGGCGATGCTTTGGATTGCCGTCGTGGGACCGGTCAGCTCGTACCGCCCAGGATTAGGAACTTCGCCTAGAACGTAGACATAGCTCGGAGCACGTTGGATCAGTACCGGCGTGACTTCGATCCCTTCGATTTCCTTAGCATAACGCTCGTCGATCTCCCGTTTCAACTCGTTCAGCGTCATTCCCTGGGCAGGCACATTTCCGATCGCCGGAAGCTGAATCGTTCCTTCCGGTGTCACGCGGCTGCTGCGTCCTTGACCGCCGGTCCCGGCTCGACTGTCGACGGTGGCTCGCAGGTCTTCCAGTTTGGTGTTCACCTTCAGTGGCGTCACCGTGATCGCGGGAACTTTGTAGTACTCTTTGTACTGCTCGTCCAACGCTTTTCGCAGTTCGTCGACGGTCCGACGCGCGGCATGGATCTGGCCTAATAGCAAGACGGTGATCGTCCCATCAGGCTGGATGACCAGGTTTCGATCGAGGTTCGGATCGGTCAGCGATTCAATCTGGACTTCGTCACCCACGTTCAAGCGATATGGCTGCGTCGATTCCTGACGCGTGAGCCGGTAGACGAAATCGAGTTCGTCATCGACACGCAAACGATACTCCGGAACATGGGCCGTACGTGCAGGACCGTCATATTCGCCCTGGGCAAAGACTTGCCATGGAATGGGACGACGCGCATCCCAGTGTGGTTCTCCTTCGCATGTCGGATCGGTTGAGTCGACACCTACAAGTACCTGACGATCGTGTGGATTGCAGTAAGGAGCCGGCGTCTGAGCCATTGCTGAAGTGGCTAGACTGGCGAAAAGAACACTGCTAAGTACGAA